CATTGATAAAGATATTTAATAGAACCAGCCCCAGAACTGAGCCCTGGGGAACAACAACACTTGTGACCAGCTGCCACCTGGATTTAATTCCTTTTACCATCACTCCCTGGGCCCGGCCATCCAGCCAGTTTTTTACCCTGCAAAGGCTACACCCATCCAAGCCATGAGCAGCCAGTGTCTCCAGGAGAATACTGTGGAAAATGGTGTCGAAGGCTTTACTAAAGTCCAGGTAAACAACATCCACAGCCTTATTCACTAAGCAGGTCACCTTGTCATAGAAGGAGACCAGGTTTGCCAAGCAGGATCTGCCTTTCATAATCCCATGTTGACTGGGCCTAATGACCTGGTTGTCCTGTACGTGCCACATAATGGCACTCAGGATGATCTGTTCCATAACCTTCCCCAGCACTGAGGTCAGGCCTGTAGTTCCCTGCATCCTCCTTCTGGCCCTTCTTGTGGATGAGCATCACATTTGCTAACCTCCAGTCAACTGGGACCTCCCCAGTTAGCCAGGACTGCCGAGATAAATGATGGAAAGTGGCTTGGTGAGCACTTCCGCCAGCTCGTACCCTCAGGTGGATCCCATCTGGCCCCATAGACCTAGTATGTCTAGGTGCTGAAGTGGGTCACTCACTATTTCATGTGGACTATGGGGGCTTCATTCTACTCCCCACCCCTGTCTACAAGAACAGGGGGCCGTGTACTCAGGGAACAACTGGTCTTACTGGTAAAGACTGAGGCAAAGATGGCATTAAGTGCCTCAGCCTTTTCCTCATCCTTTGTCACTATGTTTCCACCCCCGTCTACTAAAGGACAGCAATTATCCTTAGTCCTCCTTTTACTGTTAATGTATTTAATATGTTTCTACCCTTTTAAACATACAGCATCTGAAGTGAAAACAAAATGAGAGTCTAGTCCAGCAAACTCAGAAATTAAAAGGCACAGTTCACAGAAAATACAAGTATCTCTTTCACAGCTGCACACATGTTTCTCCCTAGTTCTAAGCAAACTAGTTTTGTGAAAGGTCTCTAGGATCTACTGTAACAAATATTGAAACTATAGTTACCTCAATGGTGATTGTTTCCACTTGAACATTTGGAGGCATGGCCAGGTTGGGTTCGAAGTGCTTTGCTATTGCAACCAGAAGATGCAGGGTGCTCAGCAAGTCCTTTGTCAAGATAGCTATTTCCGTGTAAAGAAGGAAAACAATGTTTAGTGTGCAAAATAAGTAAACCCCAGTCTAACATCATAAATTCTCCCTGTGCAGAGGATCCCAAAGTCCCAAAGGAGGGCCATAACACAGGTGGGACAACAGATTGAGTTTTATAACATCACAATTCATCAATGCCACAACTTAAAAGTCCTTTTTGTGAGACATACACACAGATGCTGAGGGCTGTTAAGTGGTCCACAAGCCACACACTTAGAGGATGCAGCTTGCATCACCTAGTCAGGGTCAGATATTCCTATCCCACTTCTGATTAAACTAGTAACTGAAAACAAGTTGTTTAATTACTCTTCTGACACCTCTTTGCCTCATAGCAGCCTTATAGCAGAGGAAGCCCCGTGATGGATAATTTTCTGCAATTCCACTTTTGCACCTACACTCCACACTCCATTTCAGCTGACTTTCTTCCAGTTGCAAACACTTCGCCACAGCTTCCAGAATCACAGAGAGTTTCTGTCGCTGTTTTATTTCTGTTAATGCGATCTTGTCAACGTCCAGCTTGAGAGATCCTAGGTTTTCTTTGACAGAGAGTCCACAGAAAAGAGGATGTATTAACACCACCGTAGGAAAAAAAAAACCCACCCAGAAACATAAAATGAAAGCAAAGCACACAAAGTTTTTCCCTAAGTGTTTGATACCACTTAATAGCTTCCACAGACCCACATCCCACAGCTGTATGCCTTGTTAAGCTCCTGAGCTCTCTGAAAGCCTCAGTAAAATCAGTGAAGCTCTGCAAAAGGGAGAGGGCTCAAGTCATTCCTTGCAGCAGCATCCCCCAACCCTAGCACACCACTCCTTTTCCTAGTGGAAGCTACAGGAATCCAAAGAGTGCATCTTTCCTGTAGATAGTGTACAAAGGCAGTATCAACTCATATATATAGAAAAAATCCCAGCTCATTGCTCAGGCAAGTAAACTATGAAAATAAGTCAAACCTGTCCACACTGCTGCCCTCAGCCTGGCTGAAAAGGAGATATGATTTGAACGATATCCCCAAAGAGAGTGAAAGGGAAAAGAAAAATAAAGTAGGGACAGGAGAGATGGAGAAGTAGAAAGAGACCAACAGGCTGTTCCAAGAGGTGACATCTTTACACAAGCACTTCGTAGTGTAGAGAGCCTCTTGGATTTTAATAAATTCCTGTTCCAGCCCAGTGCTTTAGAACTAGAACTTTTTATATATTTTTTTTTTTTTAAGCAGGAAAACATATAAATTATAGTGCCGATTCCATCCAATGTTTCTGGTAGCATCACAAGTCACCTTTGTGCTCCTCACTTATGAAGCCCTCCTTCCCTTCAGAGGCACTGTAATTTCACACTTCAAAGTTAAGCTTTTTATCATGTTAACTAACAGGTAAAAAGACTTTCTTAGAAGAAAAATAATTATATAAAGACAATAGTGGATCGTCGGGCATTTGTTCAGAATTGCGGGTATCACAGACGGTTCACAGTGCAGTGCTTTCTCCCTTAGCAAGAAGCAAGACTCCAGCAGGTCACTCACTGCTATTGCGATTCATGAGGTTTATTCTCTGATGTGGAAGTTCCTCCATGGTGTGTTTGTGAGCTGAACTCAGAGAAGCAGCTTACCCAAAAGATGATGAAGTACCAGCCCATCATACAGATCTTCTTCCAGACTTTTAACTACTATGTGTTCCTCTTTCAGAGTCGTGTTAATCCAGTCAATCAATAACTGCAGAGGAAAAAAAAAGCAGCCGGCAATTATATTCTTGTTGTTTCGACAGTATAGAACACAGTGCTATATTGTGTTTCACCTTTCTCTTTAGTCCCTTATCTCAAATCTTGGTTTGCTTTCAGCTGCCACTTCCTTTGTGCTTTTTGGTTGTTTTTTAAAGAGAAGTTAGGTATCAGTTAGTTCTCCCTAATTTCCGAGTGAGATAGATGCCTCACAAGTTATATTCCTATGAATTTTGTAGAAATAGTTATACGGGTAGAGGAGACAGACCCTATTCTCACTTCCATCAGGGAAAAGGCTGCAGAGTACACTTCCCAACACCTGCCTTCATTAGATATCACAGAATTCACACAAATTCAACCATCAGACAAAAGTTCGGAAGAAAAGAGGCTTCCCTCATTCTGTTGGCTGTTTCTTGTAGTCATCCATGTTACTAGCACTCCTCCCTTTCCTCTCCTATTTTTGATTTCTTCCCCCTCCTCCCCACAATTTTATACTAATCTGTCTCCAAATACCTTTTTTGGGGAAATAAAAAGCATTGTGTTTATTTTGCTTTTTTTTGCACAGCAGTCCTCCCCTTGCCCTTTCCGATATATCTTTCCTGCCTTTGCAAGGGGAAGCTGCTCAGGAAGCCACGGGCTGGCTACAACTGGAAAGGAACCACATCTCCAGTTACATCCCTTGGCCCTGCAGCCCCTTCCTTGAGCACTGTGCTCCTACACAGGAGAGCAAAGGAGCTCCTCAGCACTTCCCCAAGAATGTGTTTCATCCACTTACGTTGACAGAAAGGGAAGATGACCTGCTGAAGCAGAACTGAAAAGCAGTAGCCCCAGCTGGCCCTTAACAAGAACCTCTGGAAAGAGGGACGGGTATTGCCTGTATTGCTATTATTGCGGCAAGTGAGCGTCTGGAGTTTGTTGTGTGGATAATATCCTCCTCACTTGCTGTAAACAGAGGAGAAAATTCACAGCAGATCCCTGTAAGTCAGCCAACATTAACAAAAATGTAAAAAGCAGTTTGAAAAAAATAAAAATGTCTCCGAGACGCCTGAAACTGCACAAGAAACAAAAATGCCTGGCACCGGCACTTCCCTGAACTGAGAAGCTGTCAAAGTGTTCATAATACACTTCCCCAGCAAAGAAGTAACAAGAATTTTCTAGACCGGAAAGCTGCGCTCCTCAGCTAGTGCCTGCAGGCTAAGACCTGGCGATGCTTTAGATGTGTGAGGGATAGAGCGGTACCCCAAATGTAACGGTACAACCAGATGGCAGTCAAAAAGCAGAGCGTACTGCTGAGTACAGATCCCCATCCCAATCTCTTCTCTAGATGTGCCATGAACTCTTTAGATTAAGAAGGTAATCAGTGGCACTGATGGGCACCCAGAGGTCTGCCTCCCTTGGGACCCAATTCCCACCTCCTCATCATCCAAAGAAAAGAAATTAGACAGTGAAGAATATTGTTTCGGGAGTCTCTGACGGGAAATGGATTAAGCACTGAAGCTCACAGAAATCTTCATAAACTGAAAAAAGCTCTTCATTTTTGGCAGTCTGAAAAGAACAAATTCAGTGTCTCTGTAGACAACATAATTGCATTTTGCAGCACCACCTTTCAGATTTTCTCTTTTGTATAAAAACATTGTGAAAGCCTGACACAAAAATTAAATCTTTTTGATCAAATGTGCATGAAGGTTTAAGAAAACGTAATATAGAACCGCACGTATTTATGGATTTATGAATTCCATACAATACACACATCAGCACATAGCCTAAGCTGGTTTTCATAATATTTATAACAATTTTAGTATCTCCATAGTGCAAGAAGTGCTGGTCTCATAAGAGACACACCACTTTTCTTCCAGAAAATTTCAGTATGCTAGCCTTCCCCTGGGCTGTGCCATTAGAGAAACACGGTGATTGAATGCACAGGGGAGATTTTCAAAATTACTTGGAAATAAAGTACTTTCCCGTGAAATAGGATTCATTCTTCACAGTTACCTCAAGCAGACAACGTACCATACAACAACTCGAAAGCTTTTCTCCTGAATTCTTGGTGACTTGCACACCCTTCATCCCTTGTCCCTCTGCTCTATGCTATCCTCGTCAGGCTGTGTCGCAGCCTGGAGGTAGAAGACGTGACAGAAGACCGTTGCAAATCAGCACAGCAACCCTACAACTTGTTATCATGGGATGAGGGCAGTGAACTTGGACGTATATGAACATCTCTCTTTAGTCACAGCACATGCTGACGTGGGTTTCCTTTCGGTCACGGTCCACTGTTCCAGCCGGATTGTCATTGCTATTACACTAACATTACAATGGAGTAGCAACTGGGTACTTCTGGTGCGGCTCATCCACACGCCCCAGGTGAGAGGAAGTATCATATAAGAAGAAACTAATTTTTCAAATTGACACTTCACACACAGCAATGATCACTCCTGGGTGCTGCAGGCATTTGAAGCCCAGTCCTGTATGGCCACAGCCAGCCTGGCACTGTGCTTAAGCAAAAGCTCTGGTTTACTGGTGTGGAGCCCAAGTGCCAAAAGCAGAGCTCCTCCCCATCCATAGAGAGTGGGGGGGACTGGGGCCAAAGAGTTGAGTAATTTGCACGGCTGAGCATTCACACAACAGGTAAAAACAACTTGAGGTGAGGGTTAAACAACATAGTAAAAGAAACGGTACCAGTTTTAATTCTTCCAATTTGGGGTTATTCCCTGAGGTCGGTTTTATGAGTTTCTTCTTCTCACCTATGAAAGGAAGCAAACAAGATCCATTACAATTATCAGATATGACTAACGCAAATTTGCTGTAAAATCTGCTATCAGTTTAATATTACCCAATATCACTAATTGTCATGTGTAGAAACACTGTCATTTTTCATTTTAACTGATTCCTTATGAGAAAATGGTGTATCAGACTATTAAGACTGCTCTTGGAAATTATGCTTCAATGTAATTCAAATCAGTAAGATCTAGACAGACAATCCTGGAAAGAGGAAAACAAACTTGGTCAGATCCTTATGTGTGAAATTTAAATTTCAGTGAAAAAAACAGCTGGAATTTGTGTTGCTTCTTCATGATCTGCCTCTAGAGAGTCAGCAGCCAAATTACACGCACAGAGCTTACTCACTGCTGATAACACCATGGGACCACTGCTGAAAAATATATGATTCATTTGTACTGCACATTTTCTGCTTGGTTCTTCAGGTCATTCTTAGGCCCTTTTTCTGTCCTGGTTCATAAAGTACATACCTTGAGCGATGACATTCTCAGCTAGGTATTGATTAACTGCAGCAGGCTGTGTAAACACATTTAAAAAGTCTGGATCCATTGTCTTTTTTCTCACTCCTGGTAAACTGGTAAAAAATATGGGGGGAAAAGGAACATGAGTAAAGGCAGGTAAAGATCAAAATTAGTGCTAAGAAGAAAACAAACAAAGAAACTGAAGAGGTTTTTTTCAGTTACAATTTCATGACTTGTGGATTGCTTTTTTAAAAAAATATCTGAAAATGTATTTAAATGTGTGTAAACAAAAAGAAGTTAAAAAGAACCTTTACACATGAAAATGATGTGTACTGCCTGCTGCACCCTCTGTCTCTGTCTGGCCAAGGAACCCAAACATCAGAAGCCACTCTTTAAAATTTGGAAGCCTGTAAGAAAAGGCCTGAAATTAAGAATTTGCAATAGCTTAAGTTAACATCCTCCAAGGCCTCAGTCCTGTGTGTCCTACTCAGTCAGAGCGTTAAAACTGCTATACTGGGTAAGACTAGTTTGTGTAGCATCCAGTCCCTTACAACACCCAAAAGCAGAAGCTTGGCGGGGGAAGGGGAGGGGGAATACCACATAAACAGAGCAAGCATATACCGATACTTCCCTAAAACACTTCAACAGCCTGCAGCTCAGCCTTCCTAAATCAAAACTGGCATCCTGGTAATTAGAAGCTGTCAATACATTTACTTCCCATCCACCCCTTGAGCACGCGTATCTCCCACCATCCAGCAGCAAGGAGCCGAAGACCGTGGCTTTACCCTGCGTGACGCACCACCTCCTGTTGCTTGCTCTGACCTGCCACCACCTTCCCCAGAAGCTCCCCACTACGCACAGTGCAAAGGAGACCGACTGATCCGCGTTCGTCACCGTGTTACTGCTCCATCGCTACTACTCCATCCATTCAGTTACTACCGTATCGCTGTCCTACACCCTCAACAGCCATCTCTTTCCGAAACTGAGGAAGCATAGCCTGTATCTTAGTCGTCCTTCAGAGGGCAACCACTCTGTATTACCTCTGACTGTCCTGGTCTGAACTCTCTCCAGCGCTACCACAGCCTTTTTGAAGCGGTAGGCACCCGACCTGCCCAGATTTAGAGAGGTGCACCACAGCGTTCACGGCATTGTTCTCCATTCCTCTCCTCCTAATTCCTAACGCTGTTTGCTTTTTTGATCACCGCTGAGCACCGAGCTGACACTTTAATGGAACTATCTATTATATCCCCAAGATCTTATTCCTAAATAGCAACACCACTCGGAGCCCATCATTTATCTGTAGAGCCAGTATTGTTTTTCCCCCCTATGTGTTTCACCTCGCATTTATCGACATTGATTTCCCACAGCCATGTCAGAGCCCGAGAACCGCAGTTCCTTAGCATTTAATAGACTCGTTGCATACTACTGATAATTAGCATTCGCAAGCAGTCCTTCATGTCACAATCTGCATTTCTGTGAGGCTTGGTCCTAGACAGCAGCCTTTCAAAGAATAACACACTGCAGAAACAAGATAAAATGGACGATGACTGGGTTTGGACACCTTCTTAGGGTTAGCTCTTTAATGAGAAATTGGAAGAGATAGAAGCCATGGTTCTCACACGCGAGCTTCCATGTTCGCTGCGACCAGCCTCTGCAGCCCATCGTTCAAATTTGCTCTCCAGAGCTGCAACTGACAGGCTGTTTTTGCCAGCCTCCATCCTCCAGCACACATTATTTATCAGTATTTGGAGAAGAGATCACTGGAGGAGACAACTGCTCGAATACTGATTGTAGAAGCAATTCATGATGACATTTTTAAAGAAAATTGAGGTTTAATTGTTGACTATTCAAATGAAATGGCATGATTTGGTCCTTTGTTCTCTGAGAACATCATAGCTGTACAGGCTTGCCCATTTTAAAGTCGAGGTGCTTTACTTCTCCTATGCCACCTGCAGAGGCAGCCAACAAGTGAATTTCAAGAGCCAGACTATTGCACAACGTTGCAACGCGACAACTACCGATAAAACAACTTATTCTCTAGTTGGGTGAGATCCCGTCCCTGTTCCTCCGTGAGTCTTCACACAGTCTGGCTCGCACATATCCCCAATATACAATATAAAGCATTAATGAGCTGCCAGTGGTCTCTGGCATACAAACTAGCTGTAGAATATACACAAGGCACTTACCGATGTTACCAAATTGTTTCAACTGTTTTATTTCCTGTTTGAAAAGACAAAAGCCCTACTCCGCACTAGCTCAGACACATTTCCCAGAAACAGTTGTCTAAATAGATCACACAAAGGAGGGAACAAAAACCAAGTGGGAATGTTAATGTTACCAGTTACATTTCTGCCTTCAGAAAACCAGAATTAAAAAATAAATAAGAAAAAAAAAAATGCGTTTTGTGCCTGGTTTAAAACTTACTTTTACTTCCTTGTGTAGTACCGGCCCTTTCAAGAGCCATTTTTGCTCATTAGCATCAGAAGAGATGTTGTCTTAGCAAGAACAATCCACGTGGACACAGAAAGTCTTACCGTTAAAAAAAAAAAAAATATTTTAAAACGCACCCCAAAGAGTCCTTTTTCCCAAACTTACTATTCTCGCCTTCAGTAATTCTCCAGAAACTCTTCCAAGATCTTCTGGCAGCAGGCGCGATGAAATTTATGGGGAGAGGGGACTGACCCCCAGGATGGCGGCGTCCTGCGCCGAAGCGGCAGCCTCCCATGTGGAGTAGCGCGAAACACGCAGAGTATGGGTGAGGGAAGTTGCGCCGCGCGGTACTGACTACTCTTAAAAACGAAACCACAGCCGTATCCGGAACTTAATTGTCTATGTGCTTGGTCCCCGCTGGAGACTAAAATAAACAGAAATACAAATGCAGGAAACATGCAACCCCGCAACTCCTGAAATACCAGAAAGTATTAGAAAGATACGATCGTTCTTCCATGGTACTGCATGGCACGACTCTTTGCTAATCTGCATCTGGGGCAACTCACGGTGCACTTTTTCTTTGCCTATAATAATAAAACAGCCAACAACAGACAAAATCATGCCACGTTACACCTTTTACTCACGGTCCTTTGAGCGTTTTATAAAGCAGATCAGCGCTACTCTACCTACCTGGCAGAAGGAGAGAGGTAGGCAGGAGACAACAACAACTCAGTTGTCCTTAGAGAGCTGGTTAGCCACACCAGAGCCCAAAATGCTCATCTGAGACAAGTTATCTCCACTAGGCAGTGCTGCTGCTCTTCCTTCCCTTTTCCACCATTAAAGAGAGAAAGCTGCCTACAGCAACCACTTTCCCTGGACATTCCCTTCAGGTACCAGTTACATTTGTTAACTCTTCCAGAAAGAAAAAGCAACTCTGCAGTCTTCCACGAGATGTCTCATCCCAGAATGAGACAGTAGACGGCCACACTAATTAAGCTGGTCTGGTTTAATGTTGTTAAGGGACTGACTCCTGTGTTAAGCTCCATGCCGTAAACAAGAAGTGATGGTTCCTCATGAGCTAAATGAAGGGATAAAGTAAAGTGGGTTGAAAATACATTTCCAGCTGCCGTGAATTCTTAGTAACTGAGAACTTAACCCCAAATCCTTAACCAAAGGGCAAACTTAACTGTATTTGCTAAGCAGATAATAAGCACAGCATTACATCAAATTAGCAAAGACCCAGAGTACCTTCTTACCTATGCAGAAGTGCACACCACAGCCTAGAAATGTACTAAGTAAAAACCAAAAGGAAGGCACAGTTGGAGATGCTATTGGCACCTTTGGACAAATCCAGTTTCAAATCAGCAGGCAGAGGGCACAGGAAGAATTAAAATTTAGGAAATTTGACTGTAATTACTAGGTCTCTCCCTGTTTCAACTGCCAACTCAAATGACTTCTTTCTTGAAAGCCTCATTCACAATACAGCGCATCAGTGCGAAAAGAACAAGTCTGAAACACACATGATGGACATCTTTTTTGCCTCCAAAAATTGACGTTGTCACCAGTGCATGAAGTATCCAGTCTTGTGTAGAACAGCACTAGTAAATTCTGTATCAGAGCTGCATTTGATTTTATGCCCATCTCCCCCCCCAGAGTCTTTCTGTACATTCCCAAAGCACAACTCATGCACACCCCCTCACACACACACACACACACCTGGGCCCTCATGTAAAAATAGCCACTGAAGAACAATTCAAGGAATCAACAGCTCTCCCACCAATAGTAAGTTCTGATAATGCATTTTCCTGCTTCTCCACACGGCCTTGCTTTTTTTGGAGAGCCACTCTATGCTCCCTCCATACCAGAGCAGAGGGAAACACACAGGAATTTTAAATGTCACTCCAGACTTATTTGGGCTTCTGGCTTCCCAAGTGCTCTGTAGACACATATGGGATGGGCTTTGGCATGCCAGGCTTCCCTCCTGTGCCACTGTGGAAGAACTGGGCCCTAAGTCTTCTAACAGTATCAGAGAATGTAATTCAGTTACTTTTCTCATGTGGAAGTGAAAAGGTAAACAACTTGGATCAGGTCCAGTAGCTGAGCAATATATATATATATATTTTAAAAAAAAAAAAGAAAGCAGTTGATGAAACCTACGAAAGAGCTCATTTGTGTCTGCCCATACAATCTCATCGCCTGTACCAAGGCCAGAAACCTGAGGTAACTGCTTTGCTAGGTCTACACAGACCCCCATGTACCTAGGACCCCTGATGAAGAAGGCAGCCAAAGCCCACCTTTCAAAAGTTCTTCCCACAGACTTGTCCATTTTGCCAAAAAAAGATGTAGAAGACCAAATGATCATCATTTCTTTATTTGAATAAATAGTACAACTGTAACAAACCATGCACAACACTCCTGCTGTGATTTTTAGCAAACATAGCATTGCATTGTAACTTGCTTACAGTACACAACTCTTGTCACAAAGCTGGATGTCTCCAGCGTATGACAAGTCCAAAATTTTATCTGCAAGGCTGTTTTTAGGAGTTAGAAATTCAGAGTAAACACTGTTAAAAACAGTAGAAAAGAGTCTTAAAGAATACATTAATACTGAAAGCACTGGGGTGCGGGGAAGAGGGGTAAGAAGTCCTATAAAGTTTAAACTGGTTAAAAAAAATCTGCCACTGTTGGTTTTTCATCTTGAGAAACAGGATGCAGCTGAGGAGTATCTGGGCTTCTTCTGTGGTAACGTAGCTCACTGGAACTGAGTATGTCAAGCAGATGAACCTAAAAGGCAAGTTGTATGGACTGGAAGAGACAAACATTTATTAAGTACTTAAAAATGTGGAAGCTTTAATGCTGCAGAGCATTCAGCGCTCCGGATGAACTCAACAGGTTTCAGACCTACCCCACTGGCACCCAGGGAACATAGCTAAAACTCCAGTAACACAAAGAGGTCATGAATAACATGTTTAACATTGACTTATCTTTTTGAGAGGACGAAAAGTAAGTATCGTGCATATGTAAAAGAAACACATGACAAAAACAGGTGTTTGGAGAAGCTTTACCTCCATTTGCTCTTCCTGTAAACTGGACTGCTTGAAGCTCCGGCTCAGTTAAATCCACCCTGTTCCCAATCTGGTTAACAATAAACACAGCGTCTACAGGAAGAGTGACCTGGCTAGACAGCAAGGAGCTAAGGAATGAAAAGTGTATTTACCCTATGCAACATTTACCAACAGAGTGAAAACCACAACAAAACAGGGTATGATACCTGCTCTAAATCTGCCCAGGGCATCAAGCCTGCAGTAGTCTTGACTGACAGGGATATTAATGTAAGGAATGCTAAAAGGTACCCACGCCTCAGGTTGTAGAGGGGGGACTCAGGTTTCTGCAATGACCAAAAACACCTTAATGAACAAAACAGAGACTCTTTTAAAACTTGGTGCTATGTTCACATGTGCTCACATGCAATGAGGATGCCAGCTATTAAATCCCTGTCTCAGAAACAACTATTCTCTCTCCCAAATCCAAACTGATTTCATCAATTTCCTCTTGTTACTTTCTGTTGGCTTTTGATATTAATATTGCTTGCAATTTCAAAAACTAGATTCTCTGGCGGTCTTTCACAGCAACTCAAGAGAATATAAACAGCATTGGCACTTCCACATCAGCTGAAGGGAGGTGGGTAGAATGACAGCTTTTTAACAGACTTGTTTCCCACAAATAACATTGCATTAAACTGAAAGTTTGAGCGACCTTTCAGTTCAACCTCCTTCCAGCCTCACGACAGCCCTATTTCACAGCACGGAAGTTAGACCAATTTCATTAACTTGCCAGGAGAGCTGACCCACGAGCCTTAGTACCTCTGTAAGTCTCCTCTGTAATAATTGCTAGTGTCATGGTAGAGTCTAGTGTCCCCATCTGAAATTCATGTCCAATTGTACTAGGCTCTGTATAAACAGCAAGAGGTCAGCTCCCTCCTCAAGTACAGACAAGCAATGACTCCCCACAGAACCCTACAGAGTAGATGAGATCTGAATTTTTAATGGAAAGAAAGTGCAACTTCCTTCCATCTTGGTCTTGGAGGTATGAGAGGAGGTGACCCAAATAAATCAAATACTAGAAGCTAGAACCCAAAAATATGAAACAAAGAAGTAGAAACCCATTTTTCCTCCTCTGAGATTAAAAAAATATGCTTAAGGAGGGAAGGAGAAAATCCCAATCTCAAAATTATACCATTCAAATAGCAAGTTTCCTCTTGAATTCAGAAGGGTAAATAAAGTTTTGCATAAGAAATCCACTTCTAGGGAAAAAAGATGTTTACGTACAACAGGACTCAAGCGAGCTCATGGAGCAGAGCAATACTACCTGCTTACTCTTTGGGGCACTCTGCCTAATGTGTTGCACAAAACCATCACTGTCCATAAAAGAAAAGTTGTTGCTGTGATACATAAAAGCAGTAGTCAAATCTATCCCCAGAGCGCTACAAGGAAAGGAGTGCTATTATACAAATGTTCCACTAATAATTTACTCTGGAAATTGCAATCCCATTTCCTTTGCACAGCTCACCTCAAAAATCTACTCAGACGGCTCATGTTCCAGCACAGCCTCCTTGTACACACCACTACACCTGCACATCACCAGCCAGGAACCGCTCCACAGACGAAACCTGTTAAGTACTATGAGGTAACCAGACTCTACTGGATAAATACAGCAATCCTTTTTTAAAACGGATTCCCACTGAAGTCTGTAACAACTTAAAAGACTACAGGACTAGGCTAGAGCCTAGCAGAGTATTTCTTGGGATGGCACAGGGCAACTCGATGAAAATCATTTAAAGCACAACTGATCACTGAAGAGCTTCACATTTGAGTGCTAACCATTGGCTTGCACTATGTATACCACATGTCTTGCACAGCCCAGTGCGATCGATAAGTACAGGCGAGCTCTTATTTATACAGGAATTCAGTTTTACTCTTTAGGAAAGAAAATACATAAAACTGTTTATAAAAGTTTGACCTCCAGAACTGTACAGCTGCCAATAACTCCAACAGGAATGAATCTGACCCTTTAACTAAGCTATGTGAAATGAGGAGTCAGCCTTTAAACTCCCAAAATCATTATTCCCCATATTTGTTTCAGAAAGGACTGGGTCAAATTGCATTAATCAGCCTGTGCCTATTTACCAGCTCCTGACCTGACTGAAGCTGCATGCTTAACAGATGACAGTGGCTCTAGCAACTAAATTTATCCTAGAAAGGAGATGAAATAAAAAATAGACATCAAAAGATTAGATGGTCATCCCACTGCAAGACTTTGTGTAAACACGGAATGGAAATAACACTGAATAGTATGAGGTTAACAAAAAACTGAAGCTTTCGCCATTAGCTTCAGATAGTGCCTGTAATTCCTCGCAGCCCCACCCACCCAACAGAACATACAAAACCTTATCTAACTGAAAAGGCTCGGCTTCTAAATAAATTCCAATGCTGATTTTCTATTGCTAACACTTAAGCCTGGAAAAATAATCAAATGCCAGTGGCAAGCAAGTAGTATGCAAAAGAAAGTCTATTGTAGAATCAAAGAGTGTCCAGCCATGAGGAAAGTCTCATGTTTTCCCTGCATGTTGAAGTAGTTAGTGGTGTGTTTCCTTTATCAAAAGAACATTTGTTGATCATAACAAACAACAGACCCAACAGTATCTTCTAGTACAAGTGTGAAATATCTACACATTCTCAAGTGAAAATACACATGCATTTTTTTTTAGTGGGATTGTCATACAAACAGCTACAAAGAGACCACATCAACTGCCAAAAGAATGCATGAAGTACAATATAAGGCACAAAGGGAGCGTGCAGAGGGTGCGTTTATTGTAATTTCTGCCTAAGGAGGTTGGAAGGATGAAGACCTCAGCAGCTTCCAGGATCATTCAACGTTCTTGTACTTTGTGAACAGGTTGTATAGAACCCTGAGGGTTGACTTCAGATCCAAGTTGACAACATCTGCGGAAGAAAAGGAGAAATCCTTAATTTGGTTTTTGTTCTCCCTCATTTGACCTCAAAGGAACAAAAGTCCCCACATCTCTGAGTTGGTGGGATCAGCAACAAAAAAACCCCACACAGTTCTGACATCCCCAAGACAAGTTTTTCAAATGTCCCATATGATGCACTTCAAAACACCTTCAGGATAATACAGTCACAGGTAACTTCTCTGGCAAACAGAAGAAAGGCAATTCCCTTTCTCATCTAAAACTGGTTACAGAGAAAGTCTACTTCTGTCTGAGACCTGCGATAAGGGCTTTGGGAAATACTACTGATGATTTCACTGGCCACAGAAGCAGCAAATAAGTAGCCACACACATCATACGAGATACGGACCCTCACACATTCACAACTCTGCAATGATACAGTCCATGAATAAACAAAGCCTGAATTCTTTTAGCAGAAGCAAAGTTTTCTGTTATTTAATAACCCTCTTACCATGCTAGGCAAGGGAACAGGTCTGAAACAGTTCTCAACAAAAAGCTTTTCTGCTAGCACCTCCCAACTATTAGTACGATAAAATGCCAGGAAATGCAACAGACACGTAATCCAGGGACTATGGGGGGAGGCATAACAGAGAAGATTGAAGAGGTGGAAAGAAAGGTTGGATATAATATGTAATAAAGGAGGAGGAAGAGGAAGCGAAAAACATACAGTAAACAATATATATGGAAGAAGAAGTACAGAAGAATAGATAATTAAAAATCATTCAAAGAACCAGGAAGACAGCAAACAATTAACAGGCTAAGTACAATTAATGTGAAGTCCAGGGGAAACATCTAGTGCCTGTTTTGAAGAATCCTTGCCAGGATCTCTCCACCCTTCCCTCGCACCCCATACTGGATAACACTCTAATCCCCACACTTTATCTTGTATTTTCAGTACTCTCTCAAACTTTTCTTTCTACCCTTTTCCCCATATTATTTTACATATTTCATTTATGATTTGTATTTTGCATTTGCAAAAGAATCTTCTCCTACCCCAAAGAAAGGAAAGATCCTAACCGCTGTGAAGCGGTACAGTCTGAAAAAGGAGATGTCTTACCTGGATAACTGAAATATGAAACACATTGCTAATTTTTCCAGGTATCATAGAAAGTTGCTTCCTACAGGAGCATTCTCAGTAAGGTAACAGCCAGAATCAGCTTTGGCTCCTCTGTACCAAGACCCAGTTCCCTCAGAGATGGATTTAAAATGTAAATTTAACCATGGGAAACAACACTTTGCAACAGCCATGCATTTCTAGAGCCAGGAAATCAAGGCAAATATCTGGAGAAGAGACAACTATCAGCAGATTTGACCCACTGATGCTGGCAGTCACTTTTGTTTGGTAAACAATTAAACAAAATAGTGCTGGTACTATGAAAATGCCAAAAATCTGTCCCAGTCAGCTCTGTAGTGGTTGGAGATTTGTAGTGTATATTTGCCCCATTCTTCCCAAATGGTTTTATTTTCCCCATTTTCAGCTTCCTACTGGAAGCAGGATGGGTCTTTTCCCTGAGCCACTGTAACCTCCATCTCAGCTGACAGCGCATTAAGCGATGTGATCAAGTCTTGTAGGGTCCAGTTCCTGCCTCTGGCTGACATCAGTTCAACTGCCTGTGCTATAAACCAAGATCCAGGTGCCAGTGGAGAGAAACAGAAATCTGGAGGGTAGAGCAGAAACATCTCTGGAAGCTAGAAGCCCAGCTAGGAAACCAGGGCATGTCCCACGGAGAGAGCAGATGGGAGTAAGAGGCAGCGAAGTGACAGAGCAAGAGCTAAAGGCACCAGGAAGAGCACAAGTAGGAGCTGGAAGGGGCCTGAGAACTACAGCGCTGCATGTACCATTCATCTGCCCTCATGGAGGCATTTAAAGCTGACTTCTACTAATCTCCAACAGCAATTTGAGCTAGGTACCTGCTGTTGATCATCCCTGGTGATTACCCTGAGGAATGAGAAGTATGGGAGGCCCCAACACTAAAAGAAGGAACAGACCCAGCTCTTCTATTTGGCAGTAAATTTGGGGTCAGAAGAAACTATTGTGGTCACATAGTCTGACCTCATGTACAACACAATCCTTAGAGAATTTTACTTAGAAATCCTGTATTGAGCTTACAAACCAACCTGTGGCTGTATTAAAATATAAGCTTAACATTGCATGTTTTTCTTTTGTTTTTCTTTCTAAATCTTCCAGTGGTGGAAATTCCACCTCCATCCCTTGACAATTCAGACTGATGGTTAATTACCTTCTGTCCTGGTTTGAGGTAAAACAGAACCAATTTTGGTCAGTAACTTCGCTTCTTAGCTGGGCCTCTCTAACAACTGAAATTACCAGCATATTGTGCAGACAATGTTCACTCTCTCAGGGTGATAAGACCTATGTTTATAGCTGATGCCCAGGCATGGTATGCAGAGAGGCTCTTGCTTATACTTATTGCTATAACAACCAAGGCCAACCAACTTTGTTATTTGCCCCGTTGGAGGGTCGGAAATGGAAAAGCATAGTGGGGTCCCACCTGCAAGGAGGAGTGAGCAGGACAGGTGACCCAAAACTGACCAACGAGGGTATTCCATCCCATCTGCCTCATGCTCAGTATAAAGGCTGAGGGATCGAAAGGTCAGCTTTCTCTTCCTGCAATGGCCGACGTCTGAGGAGGACTCTGTTCGTCTGCCTGCAATCCCGACCCTGAATGCAGATCCGGAAATCAGTTCCCGTCCGTCACTGAGTCCAGCCTGGGACTGCCCCAGTGCCAGCCGGTGTCGTGATTGTCATCTCGGGAGCTTGATATGGTTTTGTATATATTTCGTTTTTTTTTTTTTATTTTATTATTAATATTTCATTAAAGTAGTTTAGTTCCTTCTAAACTCGTAAGTCTCTTTTTCCTCCTCTGACCCTCTCTTTGAAGAGGGGTAGAGGAGAGCATCTGTCAGATCTATCTGGGGTCCCCCAGGTCCCCAGTAGCTGATTTGGCCTAAACCACGACACCTTCACTGTTGCAAAAGTTATACTGTAATTCTAGTTTGACATTTTCCTAACTTTCAGACCTTGTTATGCCTTTTTTTGCTGCAATAAAGAGTACGGTAGTGTGAGATGCATCCTCCCTGTGTGGGCGATTACAGTGTTTCTTATTGATCAGTGTCTAACAGGCATTCCCAGGAATAAGCATATTGTCAGCATCCTGTTTCTTATTTTAGGATGAGACATGCACAGTCATAACATTACCAACAACAACTAATACAATGTTAACTGAAAGTGGCCATAAATCATCAAAATAGTTTAATATATTCCATTAATTTAAAACTTTCACACTCCATTACAACCCCGTTAGAGGCTAATAAATTAATCCACTACAACATACTTTTGCTGCGATAACTCAGCATCAAGTTCTGCTGCTGGCTCAATCTACTGAATTGGGCTGGAAGAACAGAGAAGAGAAGCTGTCCCATATGCTCTTATTTTTATTTATCACCTGTACAAATACACACTAAGATATTAAACAAGACCTCTTTCTTGCACACCACAGAAAGCATGGGCTACAGAAATAAATAATCGTGATGTTCTGCTCTAGACAACATTTTACATGAAAATCCTACAACTAATTCAAGAGGCATTTACTACCCAATATGCACTAAAGGACATGGATTCACCTAACAGATTTTCCAGCCTATTTAGGAATGAACAATTGATCACTATGGCATTAACAGAGTATACTATACACAAAACTTTTTGCAGAGCATCAGAGTCTATGGCAAAATGAACTCTTCTTCTAAGAAACACATATTACACGACTGTACTGAGTGTCAAGATCCTACAGAAAATGCAATTAAACTACAGGGACAAGCAAAGCCCAAGATGTTACTGTCCTCTCCACAGGAGCAGCTTTTCAAGAGCAACAGTCGGTTTTACAAGCAATTCCAGCCACACAGACACCTCACGAGCACACTCACTCCACAGCTGTGAACTGCTGCCTGGAATGGGTACACACACAGAAGAGGAAGGAATACACACAAGAGACCGTACATCCTGCAGCAGCAAAAAGGAATGTTCTATGAGCTAATTTGGCTCTCTAACTTCTATTAATAATTACATTTTCAATCAATAAAACACTTAAATATATTCTGCTGCTTACTGAATCTACACACCTTGTCCAGAGCAAACAAAGGATCTGCTATAGTGTTCTACCACTCACGATAACGTAAGGATATAAGATAGAGACTTATGGGAAGGTAATCTCCCCTGTTACATCAATGGATGAAAACAAACAAACAAACAAAAAAAGGACAAGCTTTAAACTACAGAAGTCTTCTCCTAGGTTTTTAACATTATCTCTCTCAAAACAGGCTTATCTAGCATACCTGGTCTCCTACTGCAATCTCTTTAACCCTTCCACTCAAAATAAATTGCCATTCCTGATTGTGCATTCGTATTTCTCCAGTTTCCTTGTCCACCTCACATACCCACTGACTCAGCTCCAATACTCAGAGGACTCCTTTTCTTTCCGCTGTTAGTTTCTTGTTTCACTGAATTCTTCAGGAGCACTTCTCATCCCCAAATTTAAAAGAACTGTACTGACAGAATACATATGCATTTAATATTGTCTTTGCCTTTTTCCCCCCACTATAACCAGCTCCACTATTTGTTAATCTATTTACTGTCACCACTTTGTCTCATTTCAAGTCAGACTGAACATTTCTTGGGGGGCTCCTCATTTTTCTTTGTTCTGCAGAAGCCTCTAACACATATGTAGTTTATAACACCAGGAATAAAAATTGCTCATTTAGCAGTCAAAGTTTTAATTCCTCTTTTTATTCCCAGTGCAAGCAACAATACAGACCTCATCATTAATTAATTTCAAGGTTCAGAGACTTTAAATAAAAAACTCAGCTTTTACATTTCAGTTCTGACTCCCAAGTCCACGTAAATCAAGAAGAGAGTTTGCTACTGGTTCTTCTAAAAAAAAAAACCAAAACAAAACAAAAGCCTTTCAGTTATCTGTCACTGAAATGTGATCGCAAGAGTCCAAACTAGCACTAAATGTAAGAATTATGAGAATTAGACCGTGAAAAGCTTCCTGCTTGGATTGTTATTGAGAATACCAGGCAAATTTACAATATAGCACTGAATACCTCTTGGATTATTCACTAAAACTAGACTTGTACGCCTCAATGAATCTATTCCAGACCAGAAACACAGGTAAGGATATACACCAGACACAGACAAGGAATCCTTTGGAAAACTGTCAAGCGGTGCATTTACAGTTCCACTTTGTGATACTACTGCTACTGCCTTCTAATGGAGTTGAAGTTGAAATGCATCTGCTACTATGTCTTCATATACAGTTTAAATCCACATGGCATGTCCATACCTTCAGGGCGAGCTTTTGGTTTCTTCAGTCCTCCATCTTGCATCAGCTCAAAAGCAAAGGAAACATTATGGACCTGAAAGAGGTGAAGTGTTTAGAATCTCAAAGTTATAAAGGCATTAAAAACTTTTAATTAAATTTTTAAAATGCTTTATTCTCTCTATACTTGATATAGAGAATGATAATTCTATTTAAATCAATATTACAGAGTTACATGTTTAAGCATGGCAGAAAGTACATACGAGAGACTAAGAAATGAAAGCTTGTATCATTATAGGGCAAATATTCACTTTTTGATACAAATGAAGTAATTTAAGATTTCCAAATTTCAAGTGTAAAAGTGTGACTGGGTACCACATGAACCATGAAACCCCATTAAACCCCAATCTCAGCCTCTATGGCAGAGGCCAGAGAGGTCCCAGTAACAACACCAGAGCTGCATTTTGTTGAGTTCTTCCTGCCTGTACCAAAGATCAATGTTTCTGACTACAAGGCAAGAGATCACTCACCATGCAGGCAACAAGAAATGTGACAAAAGATGAACTGTCATGAACTGATGACAGAAGATGAACTGACAGAAGATAACTGAACAGAGATGAGAAAATACATATGGGTGTATAAGAAAGAAGAAGAAATAAGGATACTAAATGGAATTATTTTCAAATATGAGTCTTTTCTGAGTTATTCTCAGCTGCATATCAGGCAACATCAACGCCACATCATCAAGGAGCCAGGACACTTGTTGCATGACATTGTGCTAATCCCTTAATCTCTTGGTGCTCTGGCTTCCTCTACTTGAAAACAGAGATAAAAGTCAAATTAAGTTTCTCTAATGAAACAAAATGCTTCGAAAAATGCTTGGTGGTGGCAGTTCCTAGACAGATTGTGCAGTGAACTTGCAAAACAAGCTACTTTTTCTGTACAACTGTACACAATAAGCTTCCTGAACAAGCCACCAAGGATTATACATGAGCATAAAGTCAGAGAAAAGAAAGTGGACAAAAAGGAGAGATGCAAGAAAGTTGGTGTTGTCTTTTAATCTCTCCTTTGAGGAGTGAACATTATGGTTTAAAGAGATCTGTATAGCAGCTTTCTCATCCACGCTCACTGAAATTTAAGCAAGGTAATTTGGATTATGAATTCTGCTCATTTTTGTTACTGTAAATGACAGTTCTGGAGATACATAGCAAGGGGGAGAGATTTAATTAAAGCTACTCATCTTGAAAATCAGGGAGTTACGCATACAAAGCTCCCCTACAACAAGGAAGAAAGGTCCCTTTCACTGGTGCTTATTGCTCAGGACTTTATTAATCTCGTTTTACCTGCTACAGTTCCTCCTCATTCATTGTGACAAAACTAATCACTTTCAAGATGAAAATATTTTTTTCCTTTCCCAAAAACACAGAGTTTACCTCTCCTTTAATGTATAAATCGCCTTTCCTCAAGGCAGAGTCTCCATACAAAACCCGAACAGTGCTTCAGGAATACTGGATAATTGTTACAAATCTAAACTGTTAACAACAAAATCATCCATTAACAGGTGCTGGCTACAACTCAGCATCCTGCATTCCTACAAGGGCAAAATTTCTAGATACTAGGATAAAAAAAGCAAGGGAAAGCTATAAAGGAGAGCTTGTATAAGATGCAATAGATAACCATTTTCCCACTGCTCTATCAAGTTCCTGTGCAGTATACAACATTAAAAATTCATTAATCCCCATCCCATCCACAAACTTAACACTTAAAGAAGCCCCTCTTACCAAGAGCCTGATTTCCTGCCTTCAGGGCCCCTTTAAGCTCCCAAATAGCAAGCAGTCACCTCCTGAGGAAGTCAACAAGCCCTATATAACCTATAGAACCAGCAGGCTCAGCATGTTAGCCTGGGTCTGTAACAGCGCTCATTTGGCACAGCTCAATTTCCTCTTGCAATCCCAATATGATCCGCCCAGGCAAAGCTGGGTTATTCTACCAATCATCAAGTCCCATCCATCCCTCAGAGAGCATGTACCTGTGCTGAGGGCTGGTTGACAGCAACAATCTGTGCTCAAGTCATTATGAAACTCCCACCATTTTAAACAGCCCTCGCCTTACAAAGCATTCGATCTTTTAATTTTTGCCAATGTCTCCACTCCTGATCTATCCATCTCCTGCTCCAGCTCGGCCAATACTTGCATCCTCTCCACTGCAGAACCCGACAGAATAAAAAGCAGGGGGCAGATATATTACTCCAGCACAACCAGGCTCAGCGTATTCTGATATGAGGCACCAAATACACACATGTCCAGGAACAACTGGAGAAAGAGGCAAATTTTTGGTTACAACAATAAAATATGTGTTAAGCACTCTTCTCATCGTTAACACTAAGAAGGACACAGGACAATGGAGCAAGTGTGGGGCCAAGAGCAAGACACTTATTTCAACCCCCTCCATCTCCAATACCCCGATTACAAGTAAGACAATCCAACACTGCGAAGAATCCACTCTTCTTCCTCAAAGCTTTGTTTTGTCCGAGACACTGTTAGGCAGCAAGTCATTCACTCCTTACCAAACAGAAAGAAATACCCAAAAAAGACAAGCTAGTACATTCTCTCAAAAGTAAGAGTCAGTAACGCTGGCAATGCTCCTGTCGGGAACTGGACACAGAACCAGATGCCCGTCCTCACAAACTGACCTCAGAGAGGCAATTTATTGCATGCTCCCTCCCTGACAGGATCAGGGCATCCATCTTGGCTTTAGATCAGCTCTAAAACATGTTACCTGTGAGCACTCAACATACGGTTTCTAATCCCAGATCAACCAAAGATCATGGCCCAGGTACCAGCTCTTCTACTACAGTTATCTCATTTACATATCAACTAATGATATTTATTCACTTGGTTTGTAGGAACACTGAATAAACTACAGAAAAAGAACTAATGGGTATTAGGCAACTGATACTACTGAGATGAGGGGGCAGTTTTTAAGGATGACGTTCTGCGACCTTGGGAAGAAGCTCTATCTCCATGTCAATCCCAGTGTACAGGATGCAGCTAAAGTAGAGCTTCCCATCTCTCACCTTCTGCCTTTCTTGCCTATTTACGTGGTACATACCAGGCAAAGCCAGGCATCAGCTCTGCTGTCTAGCACAATAAGGCACCCCTGTGCACAGAAACACTTCAGGCAGTGCTACAATTATATAAATCACTTTGATTATGCCAAGTGCTATACAGTACAAAGCACTTATTACTAATTTATTCATTCTGGATATTAATGAGTTTTATGTGTCATTTGATGCTAGGTAACAGAATACCTTTCTTCCTTAACTATGGGGAATTTACCTTTTCATTTCACAAGCAACTTTTAGTGGTATTAACTATGAAATGTCACAGCCGGTGCAACTTTGCTACAGCCAAAGACCTGAAGAGAAAAATATACCAGGTTCTGATTTACTGGGCACAAAGCGAAAGGACACAATGACTGGAAAATATCATGTGCTAACAAAGCAAAAAGAATATAACCTGGAGTTTCTACCCACCTTTTGATCAAAACTTTCAGGTGTTAAGTAGAAGTTGTGAAGTGGAACAAAATAGTCTTCAAGGAGACCCATGAGCAAAACCAAGTAAACGCCATCTGCAAACTAAATAGAAATACTGATGACACTCCTAGGTGACAGCATCTGCTTTCAAATAAACATTTGTAAACAAGCAGAAGAAAAAATGCTTAGCCCAAATTACGTACTTTGATTTCTACCACTGTTGTTTGCTAGCACAGAAGTGCAAGATGGTTCAGGAGTCACAGACTGCTACTTTCAGGCACAGCAAGGAATTGACAGCAAGTGTAACAAGGATTTAGGGCTTTGTTTCATCTGCTCCCTGGATTCACCTATACTCTAGCAATCACCAGTGCAGCTGAGCAAGCTAAATCAGTCTTTTCTTAAAAGCCTGTTGATATAGCTGCTTTCTTGTCAGTTCTCTAAAGAAAACAAAAAAACACAGGATACAAGGCTTTCTCCCTACATCTGGTAGCATTATTTCCCTTACTCTTGTTTCCTGAGCAAAACAAGGAAGCCCATCAGCTATTGCTATAGCATTAACCCATGCAAGATCATGTGCCAATGACTATTTAAAATACTTTCATACAGTAAATAGCTCTAAGCAGAAGAAATTACAAGCAATTCACCTGGGAGTTATCTACAATTTGTACTCCTTAGTTGTGCAAAGTATTTGGTCTGAATAGGCAGGGACTGAAAACCAGATCTTCTTTATCTCCAGCCAGTTACCTATTTACTAGGCTACTCAATACTTTGGGGAGAGCTTAGAGTATGTATATCTGTTCTCGCTTTTCCTCACATTCATTTTATTTGCTTGAGCAATCTTGCCAACTTCACTATAGTATTTAACAAAGTTTTTTTGATTTAAAAAAAAAAAAACCAAAACCAAAAAGACTTCCTGGGAAACATGTTTGCACATTATATCCACCCAGCCCTACTACTACAGCACCTGGTCATTTCAACCATGATCCCTCTTAAGTCATGTGTGTTGAACATTCAAATCTCTGCCCTAAATAACAACTTGAAATTAAGTCCCCCTTCACAGGTAGGAAGAATTATTTTTTTTTTCCCAAGTCAAAATAGATTGTTTACAGTTTCGGTAAATACTAAATAATAAACTAAATACTTTCAGCAATACTATTCAGTATTCCTACCAGACAGGACAACTACTTACTGGGTAAGGCAGGTAACGTTATGTATTTCTAACAGACTTCTCACTATGATCCTGATATGGCATATGTGACATGCTCTAACCTTTTAAAAAATAAATTCTTGGGTACTTCCAAGGCATTAAGCAACAATTTCTTGTGACAGATCAGATCCAGTCACCCATTTATTTCAGCAAAGCTATAAAATAGCAGTGAATGACTGGTATTAAACTAAGCCAGGCTCAAACCAATTATGCATACTACTTGTATGCTTTTTTTTTTTTCCCAGGACAATAAGATAACCATCTCTCCACAGTTCAGTGAACTCTGGAAAGACTATCTGCTTCTGCTTAGCCAAGCCCATGCCTGAAAATTGCTAAATTTTATCTGTAAAGTGACGACCACCCCACTGACACTGAAATTCACACTTGCTTAAGGTTTCCAAGCATATTTGGTACCCAGTTCTGCGGGAGAGGCAGAGAACTCCTCAGAGCCCACCGTGGTGGCTGACAGTCACCTCCACTAGCTTTAAACAAACTAACCTGAATATCTCTGGCAGTCAAGCCACTGCAGCACGCAGTACTGCAGGAGCTACAAGTCATTAATCCACACTGCTGAGAAGCAAGCCCAGTGCATGTGCTCACAGGATAGCAGGATAAAGAGAAGAATATGAAGCCCTTTGCTGCAACAGCAAAATGTTTCCAGTCCCACTTTGATGTGATCAAAGCTAGCACTGATATCTCTATGATGAAGTGCACGCTGCAGTCCACACTCCTCCTGAGAGCCACAGGCAGCCAGCTATTAAGAGCTTATTCCAGTTCATCGTGAACCCTCACAGCTAGAAGAGACACAACCCACCATCCACCCATAACTACAGCAACTGCTTTGCAGCACTCCACTTTGATCCTAGAGACAAGCTGCCCTGAAATTTACCCATATTCTACGCTCATTAATACGATCCTATTAAATATCCAAGAATTTCACCTTATAATACAAATCAACAGCAATATGAAGTATGTGTAAACGTGAGTAAAGGTAACAAGCATCAGTGAAAGTCATTACTACTGAAAAGACAAGAGCCCTGATCCCATAAATTAACATGCCCAAAGACAAACAGTTCTATAACAAGGTTTTGTGGAGCAACGGCCCAGACTTGCAATTTACACAGTTAGATTACATACAAAAAGACAAAGTCTCCTACCTGGGTTTCTAACTCCGTTACTTCCAAATTCAGTTTATTCAAGTGTTTGTTCACAAAGGTGATCAGAGACTATAAAAGAAAACACCAGAACCAGTAATGTCAGACACTACAGTCAGTGTCTATGTGAAAGGGTTAACATAATCTTTTAAGACTTTTTTAAAGCTTAATAAATATGCATGTGTGCTATTTGCTTTTGCATAAATAAGTACATAAAACTGAAAACAACTCAGTCGTATAGTCATTTTTGTTGCACCATATGCCAGAGGTCACCAGATGGTGCTATTACATACAGCTTACTACTTCTTTTTCCTTGCACATAAAACATACTTTAGTGTCCTGGGAAAAAGCTGTGATTTGTGAAAATTGGTTCTTTTGTAGGTTCTTTGTGAAGATGAAGCAAGCAGTAGGTGCGCTTACTGTCCACGCTAATCTCTTCAGGTTCTTGGGAGAAGATCCACTGCCTGGGAGCAAGGCATCAGCAGCACCTTGCTAAGACTCCCAAAAGAAGATGCCAACAGTACCCTGTTCCGCACACACCTCTGTTCCTGGAGCGATGTGTGCATATCAACTAGCAAATTACAGTCAGGTTGTAACCCAAGCCTGGCATGTCTATTCCCACAGGAAGCAGGCATGCAAGATCCTCCTGCTATGAGCCAGATACGTGCTAATGTACTGAAGCACAGAGATCTGCCAGCCTGCTTACAACACTTCCAACAGGGACAGAGTTGGGTGTTAACACTTCTATTGCATGGGGAGAGTTAAGTCAATTGTCTATCAACTTTAAAATCACCGTTCTAGAAGATGTTTCAGGCTGGAAAGATAAAATCTTCCGGACACTTTAAAGCATTCTTTTAAATGCACACATCCTCTGTTTCATATGAAGCCAAGGGACAAATTACAACACTGATCTTTGCATACTACTGTTCTAATAAATAGCTTAACAGCCACAATGGAAATAGATGATGGAACAACATGGAGTCTCTTCCTTATGTGTTCTCTAAAACTAACAAGAGCTGGCAGAGATCAACAGCTACTTTACCCCTCTGCTCTGCCTAGCACAAAGAGCCATGTCAAGAATATGCCTGGATAGGTGTGCTTTGTGATGACACAAAGAGATGCCTTGGAGGAGAGACCAGAGGACCATATGAATTGGTGTTAAGTAGAAGAGCCCTGGGACAAAAGCAACTCTTCTGTAAAAGCTTTATATTTAGCAAACTTATTTATGGGTGGGTGAATCACATTTCAGGGTACTGCAGAAAATATCTTGCAGTTGTGGAAGATCATCTTTAATACAAGAATGAGCTGAAAACCAAACAGCAAGTGCTTCTTGGGGAGACTGAGGCTGAAGACACACACACAACTCTGGCTGCCGTTGAGCCTAGAGAAGGAGTCACCACCACCAGCCGCTCATTAGCTTATGGCCCAGCCCCTCCTCACTGGAGGACAGCACCTGGGATATTAACAGGCTGCCCAGGGAAGTGGTTGAATCACCATCCCTGGAGGTATTTAAAAGATGGGTAGTCATGGTGCTTAGGGACATGGTTTAGTGGTGGTTTTGGCAGTGTTAGGTTGATGGCTGGGCTCAATGATCTTAAAGGTCCCTTCCAACCTAGATGATTCTATGATTCTATATAAAAGTGTGTATGATTGCCCAGTTAGAATGATCTGTACCACTGCAAACACTTCGCAGAGTAGCCTTTTCTATCCTGCATCATTTTGACTGAATCTAGCAGGGCTACGTAGAAAAGCCTTGGCCAATAAACCAGAGTAATGAGACAAGCCTGACCAAAGCCAACCAATTCAGGCATCACCTGGCTTCGAAACAGTGATCTTAGGAGGATAAATACCATTTTCACTATTTCAGAATCCTCTTCTGCTATTTTCCAGATCTTTCTGGATATCTTTTCAAAAACATAAGAAAAAAAGCAATGTAGAAAATAAAACTTGAATTTTATTTTTTACCTTTTTGACTACGCTGAGTTTGTCTGGTGCATGATCAAAAAGTGTGTCAAAGGCATCACGCTCTGGTTTTAGGGGAGAAAAAATAATAAATCAATACACCTCCAACAGCCAAGTATGGGAAGCAGGTTACGTGTTTCAAGCTTAAAGGTCTTTCTCAGAAAACCACGTAATCAAGACTGAATGTAAAAGTTATCACCCTATTTTGGTGTCTAACTAAATGCCAAAGCAAACTCCCCTGGGAATTTTAGAGATAACTGAAAATAAACGTATCATTCACTGATTCCCCTCTTCTGCTATTCATAATTGGTACACAAAATACGCAGGTGGAAGAAAAATTAAAATGAAATACAAATTTGGACTACGCCCCAATCCTAACTTAAACAATGAGCCATCCAAACACCATCTGGTTTTGGTGCACTACAGCTACGGCGACAGCTATGGTTGCATCCACCACTCAGCACCAAAATCAGATATTCCTTTGGTTAATTTAAAATTACTGGTAGTGCCCCTGACTTCTGTAACACTTAAAACTGAACACGAGTGAAATCTGATTCAGCAGTGTATGAAGAGCAAAGCTTATATACAGTATGAATATGTAAACTAAGTTTAGACCTTTAAAGCATTGTATAACAATACCTAATCCAATCTAAAATCTATTAAATTGACTATATTAGTGCAACATTTCACATTGTCGCAACTTTGGACTGACTGAAATTTTCTGAACACTGAGTTTTTTGGATAACAAGTATTATCAGGTAAAACATGAAAAAATTAGAAATCTAACCAATTGCAGTTGCATTTAAAAAAAAGGCATAAAAATGCTGGAAAAATGTCTGGGTTTTAAGTTGTTCAAAATTTCAACATAGTTTTTAACAGTTTTTCCAGGTTCAAATTCTTTTTATTTACAAAACACATTTTAATAGTTTTCTATTGTTAAATAAACAAACATATTTATTATCCAAATTCCTTTGGTATCTGAAGATATGTTATTTAGCACCTGTAGCCCTCTGACATTACTTATTTTCAGAGTACCTTATTAATTATTAACATAGATACTCTGCAAGAGGCGGAATGGTAGTGCCCACATATTATAACCAGGGAACAGAGAAACTAAATGACTTGTTCATCATCACACAATGTCCTGTACAGGAGCCACATCTCTTCAGTGAGAAGAAGTGACTTAATGCCACTAACAAAATTAAATGCAAAAAGAGAAGTCTCTCGGCAGCAACACCAAAAAATTGGTTTTTGTTTAGAAGACCAAATCTACGGTTGGCAAGGTCTAAACTCTAAAAATCTAGTAAACATTAAGGAGATAAAATACTCCATGCACACGAATTAGAGGGGGCTGACTGGTCACTGAAAGGGAACAGATAACCAGACCTTTCTTAGACCTCGTACCTTTACTTCAGTCATTTTCATGTATTCATTCATATATGTATTAAAATGGTCACATTATGAAGAAGGTGTAACTCTTATCGCTGAGGGTTGCAAGATTTTTACTTGAAAGTCACTAACAACAGTATGAGGAAATATTGCCCTGTGCAGCATTTTCGCTATTCATTACTTACAAACGAAAACAAGTCAACAGAGACCAGTCTAAAGAGCACAAACAGTATACTGGATGATCTGGTTCTACCCATTATGTTCCACATCTGTGTGGAGTAATAAAACCTGTCCCCGCAATACATTCCAACCCCACAGAATTGCTCAATCCATTGTCTTGATCTGCTGAACGAAAACAGGCAAGATTTCTGTGCCTGACATAAATTAAAAAAATTTCAGAGTCAACTTTGTTACTTACCAAATCTTCCCATCATCATCCTGCAAGTCAGAGCATTCAAAAATACTGGGTTAGTTCATGAATAATCACTTAGAAAAGACAAGAACATGGGCTTAATGGGGCTTTTTCCTGCAAGACGCCGAGGGCTAACCGCTCCTACAAAGTCAGGAGGCTGAGCGTGTTGCAGACCAGACTCAACGTGCTGCAGGAATGTCCCCAGCAGACCACCAGTGATGTCAGGGAGATCCATTTGAAATGAAAGGAAATGCCTAATTATGTTTTACACATAATTATGATTTCTTATGTATAACTATTTTTATGTTGAGTGAATGAACAAATGTACTTCTGTGTACAGTTTCCACAAATACAGTCATCAGGCGCTACATCACACAGCTCAGAAGGAGCAAGGCTATCTATCTCACTTTAATCTGTTTTCTCTGAAGAAAGAAAACATAGATCATATCTGGATATTATGTAAATGAAACTGCCACATATGAATTATAGACACAGCCAGTGACATCACCAGACATATGCAGATGTTTATCAGCTGAGAATCAGGCCCTGATTTGCACGGAGGAATTTGAAAGTATTCAATGAATGTTGGATTTTGCTGATCACTGCATTTTCTGTAGCTATACTTATATATGTACACAATACATTAAACAGTAAACCTCTTAATATTGTGTAATATTAAATAACTTCATAAAATACATGTATAAACACACATGCAAATCTGTAAACATCTTTCTTGCTAAAAAACGTCTAAACCCCACTCCGCAGATTACATCTTACAAACCACATCTGAAGGAGAGGACAAGATAACTACATTGTTCAAGAGCATAAGAGCAAGGGGAGGAATTTTGGCCAACAAACCTGAGGCAGAGCTCTGATCCTACAAAAAACACTATGAGATCTTTAATGTCCACACAGAGATGTTATGATCTCATTTTTGAGCGTTTCCATCTGAAAGATCTTCCCCACTGAGCTAGCCACATGGTACTTCATTTATCTTCAAAGTCATGGAAAGCTGAGCCAACTCTACAGGGAGCCAATACCCTGATAAACTGAAGGAGGGCTCATGTAAGCCCCTCTTAGAATAGTTGCCTTCAGGCTACAGGAAGGAAAATCTCAGCTTTTATTTGCAGCCAAAGTGCATGTCTAGCCTTCTCCTTAAAAAAAGGACTGTAAAAACATAAAGAAAGTAATCCATTGCAAAAACTGGAGAGGGAACTAGCTTATTTATTTAATTCATTATTTTTGTGGAGCTCTAGCGCTGCCGTACTATTGAAAAAAAGATCGTCTCTCCTTACAATTTTAACAGGGTATCACTCCAGTTTTCACAGGTATTTCAAAGAATTGCCTTTTGTCAAACTAATTCTTCCCCAAAATATCTACATTGGCCCTTCACTTGAGAGAGGAAACAGCACTGAGCAGAAATTAGTTATATATGGCTACCTCCAGAAGGCGGGGGGGAGGGGGAGGAAGGCCCACAGAGGTCACACTCAATGAACTATTCAGTTAAAAGCTTTTGTAACACACAAATGTCAAGACGACACTTTTCTCCTCCGTAACATATTTCCAGAGACCAAGTTATTCCTTTATAGTTAAAGAAGCACCACATTAAAGGATTTTGTTAATTTAACAGGGGTGAGGGGAAGACTTAAGTCTCTCTTTCATCTTTGTAAACGGTCTCACATCATGCACCACAGACACAATCCAAAGCTGAAGTGTTTTGCTCTTACTCTGTCGTAGTCGTCAGCTCCTCCGTAACATGAGTGGTCTGAAGGAGGCCTTCGCGTTTCTGGAAAGGAAGATGGAGTTAAAAACTGAGACAGCATTAGTAATGGAGAAGCTCATTAGGGGCTCTGCAGCATTCAGCATCTTTCAGAATCCCAGAGGAGAAAACTGGATAAAGCATGCTCGCTAAGTTTTGTAGAGGTAGAGGTGAAACAGCTGACAAAGGAGGGCTCACTCCCAGAACAGTGGCATTTATCAGGCTGACAGCCAAATGGATGTTTGGGAGATGTGTATATATATATTTGCAGCCAACAAACTCACTAACAATTCTCCTCCTGAGACCAGAGTCAACATCGTGCCTGGAACACAAGTTAGACAGAGTTTGTCAGCCCCATCTTAAAAGTCCCCAAGGGCGCTCGTTCATGTCATGGTGTCAACCAACAATTTGACACAATTGGCAGCCTCGCTCTCCGGAGAGGTCTGGAGCTGAAGCAACACGGACAGCTGCCCCCAGGTCAGGGCTCCGGTGTGCCGGCAAAGCTCTCCGGGCACAAGGGCAGCTCTCCTACAGCAGGCGTACTACTGAAGCCAGCAGCCACACGCCTGTCAGGAACACATCCACCAAGGAAACACAGGGAGCATAAAAAGCCCAACTAGGGATTTCACAATGAATAATATTTCCTTGTTACTGGGTTTTCTCTCCTTGAGGTAATTTTCTGCATGAATACGAAGTCTCCTACCCAACAGAGAGTTACCATGCAGTGACACTCAGTTTCAAAACAGATTTATAACAGCATCCTTGGCTCTGTTATGACACAGCCCCCCTGACAGAGGTGGGCTCAAATGTTTCTGAGCCTCTCCAGAATTTTGGAGATATGGCATGTGACTCCTGGAGGCTGGAAGTGCTTTTACCCGAGTCAAAAACTTTCTTAACATATCTATGGGTCCCTTCCAAAACTATGGGATATAGCCTTATGCCTCAATGGAGGAATTTCTTTCCTCCCTTCCCTATGCTTAAAAAGCCGACACAAAGAGCTCAAATCTCAGCAGCCATCTAGGAACCGGGCCTGTCAGAATGACTTACGGCAGGGTTAATAAAGCTGCTAGCTCAGGTAAGCAGGGAAACCACCCCCTCAGGCACAAGCTCTACACGCATATGCCATCTCAATCATTTTCACCAGCTGAACCCCAAAGAAGAACCTATTAGGGAGAACAGCTTTGAAGAGAAACACATCCTTCCTCTGAAGCAATCTAAGAAACAAAAACTGAAATCTAAAAACCAGCAAGAAGAACTCCTGCCCTTCCAATCTCTTCTCAACAAATGAAGGCAGCGTTGCTTTCTCAAGCCACCACCCAGGGAGCCTGGCTGAAAGCACGGTGGGAGCCGTGGTCTCCCATCGCTGTGCTGTTACAGCTCCGTGCCTGAGCTGGGCCCTGTGCTGGATCCTGCCAGCTGGCCGTGTCTTCACAGCCCCTCACTTCCCTATCATGCATACATCTCATCCTGCTCCCCCGAGGGAGACACGGGAACAGCGCCAGAAGGTTTGGTGAAACAAGCCAGGATGACAGCACGGATGGAAAAATGAGAAAGCATCTGACAGGGCAATGTTTTCTTGCACACAAAACAATGTTGTCTTTATTCCACCCCACCACGTCTCTGCTTTATTAACACAGGTTTCTGGACCTTCCAGGCACCACGTACCCCAGGGAGAAGATGCTATAAATTGTGAACAAAAACTCACTAAGTGGTGACTAGTGAATAATGCCTCCAAACGCCTGATAAGAAAGAGGAATGGATGCCAACACTGACTCCCCAATAGATGGAAATGGCAGCATTTCTGTGTAGCCCCCTCCGAGGCAGCTGAGCATGCTGTTTGTACAGCAAGTCTAGGTCCCTTGGCCTTGCAATCCAAAAGCAAATGTCATTCTTTGATAAAACTTTGATTCCTTGCACCACTGCCACCAGACACATCTATTCTTCACCCTGCCTGCCTCTGACCTTTCAGTCTGCAACTCAGACTATGAGGGAATTACTGTAAAAATACCTCAGATATCCCAGCAGACCCACGGTGGGACATGCTGCCATTTTAAAAATGAGGATGAGGAAAGCTAAGTGAAAAAGGCGGCAATTCCTGAGCCTTGTCAAAATAGCCAACACAGTTAGCCTTAAGAACAAATTTTACACTTATTTCTGAGAAGCTTTTTGCTTTCCTGAATTGGGGTATTTCTTCATCATGCAAGTTTACATTTCAAATATCAGGCAGCAGAGTCAGCTGGAAGAAAAATCTCAGGATTTTCAGTTCTCACTGGAAGCATGCACTGAAACCACAGTTTCTCTCCTCCCTGCCCTCACTGAGGGGGGCTGGAACAACAGGCACACAATGAGTGACACCAGTATTAAAATATGTACCATTTTAGACTATTAACTGAGCACTTGGAGTAGCTATCAACAGGATCTTAACTCGAAGACCCACCTAAAGCCTTGCTTCACTAGGATTCTTCATGTATAACTTGGACATATATTGCCATGGTTACAAAATTTTCTATTTCACACAAAAACCACCAAGAAAAACAATTCTAGACGTTGATTTCAAAAAGGTTTGAAAGTAACTAGGTTTCAGGAACTCTGATCTTGAGAGGTGCTACCTCACTGTGCCCATTATAAAGCAAACAAAAGTGGTTTTCTGCTGTGTTAGTCTTGTAGTTGTTCTAGGTAATATTGACAGACAGTAGGTAAAGGTTCTTCCTACCAAGGAAGGCAAAGCAGAAAGTCCTCTCCAAAATGCTTGTGGGTTTGACAGATACAGATCCAGCTACAGATCTTTCTCACACTGTAAATTAACTATTTCTAATTTAAAAAAAAATACAGCACCTTAGGAAAGTCTCAGTCAAGATGCTAAAGGAAGTGAAGCATTTAAGGGAAGGGCAGAACCACCACCAGTCTGAGGAGATCTTGGTAAATACTTTCCATAGAGCACAGTGCTGTCATAATATTATCTCATTTTATGGAGCAGGACACTAAAAATTAGAGAAGAAAAAGCTCGCAACACTTACACACACTAATAAGGTATTCTGCATTGCTCTGGGATGGGCTATGGAAATGTACATAACTTCACTAAGCGCTAACTTGCTAAACCCGTATCAGTCTCTTATTTTCATAGTGTAAGCACAGCCCATCTGGGCAAGAAGCACCTCATGCATCTGCACAGTGTGAGGATGGCTCAACAAAGCTGATAATGACAATCCTAAGTGCCAAAGTCATCCATGAAAGTGAGACTTAACTAGTTTTGAAAATTTCAGTGTGGGTGTGTTCTTGCACAATACTCCCACAATATCTTGCAAGGTTTTCTTGCTACGGGGTCAATTCTGCAGAGCTTACAAAGTCACTTAAACTGTTGATTAATCCCCTTAAATGCATATTCAAGCAAGAAGAGACATTTAAACTAAAATTTCTCAGAGCAGACATCTTATGTTAATTGTGATCTAGTTTGACAGAACCCTAATAATTATTGGGATATGTAATAAGAGATCATTTAACAAGAAATTGATAATTACAATAATAATAATAATATTCTTAATAATAGTTTTCTTACTTGTATTAGGAACAATATTAACCTCATTACCGTTCTTCTGTTTGTCATTAGTATAACAAAGGCTAAATAAAATCCATTTAAAGAGATCTGTATTACTGAACCAGCGTGTATTTTTAGACTAGGTTATGGATGTTGCACTATGAAAATTCAATTTAGCAAACTATAGGGCAAAAGTTATTGTTCCAGAAAAAACATGCTTCAGTTTATACTGTGCCTTGCTTTGCATTTAAATAAACAAAGCTTAAGAGCTGCAAGCTTTTCCTAGCAGTGGGATAGGGAGGCTGAAACAAGCCTGCTCTTTCCACGGAGCCAGCTGAGGTAGGCTCATAGCCAGCAGTTGCCATAACCATCTCCAGGACTCCAGGCTCTAGAGCCAAGAGCAAGAGCTTACAGCCTCTTGAGCTTAAATTAACTCTCATTGTACCATTGCACTGCCCTGAGGGCACAGGAGCTG